GAACCCTGGGATCATGACCTGAGCCGAAGGCAAATGCTTAACGACTGAGCCACCCAGGCACCCAAAAATAAATGAAATCTTTAAAAAAAAAAATTTGACCATATAATTATGGGTTTATTTCAGGACTATTCTGTTCCATTGATCTATGTGTCTAATTTTGTGCCAGTACCATACTGTTTTGATTACTACAGCTTTATAATACAACTTGAAGTCGAAACTGTGAAACTGCCAGCTTGGTTTTTCTTTTTCAAGATTGCTTTGGCTATTCGGGGTCTTTTGTGGTTCCATACAGATTTTAGGATTGTTTGTTCTAGTTCTGTGAATAATGCTGGTGGTATTTTGATAGGGATTGCATTAAATCTGTAGATTGCTTTGAGTAGTATACATTTTGACGATATTTGTTCTTCCAATCCATGAGCATGGAATGTCTTTCCATTTCTTTGTGTCGTCTTCAATTTCCTTCATCAATGTTCTATAGCTTTCAGAGTACAGGTCTTTCACCTCTTTGGTTAAGTTTATTCCTAGGTATTTTAGAAAGACAAATACCATATAATTTCACATATATGTGGGATTTAAGAAACAAAACAGCAGGGGTGCCTGGGTGGCTCAGATGGTTGGGCGTCTGCCTTCGGCTCAGGTCATGATCTCCAGGTCCTGGGATAGAGCCCCATGCCGGGCTCCCAGCTTGGTGGGAAGTCTGTTTCTCCCTCTGCCTCTCCCCCTGCTTGTGCTCTCTCTGTCTCTGTCTCTCTCTCATGAATGAATAAAATCTTTAAAAAAAAAAAAAAAGAAACAAAACAGCAAACAAAGGGAAAAAAAAAAAAGACAAACCAAAAAACAGATTCTTAACTATAGAGAATAAAGGGATGGTTACCAGAGGGGAAGTAAGTGGGAAGGAATAGGTAAAACAGGTGATGGAGATTAAGTATACACTTATCTTGATGAGCACTAATATATGGAACTGTTGAATCACTATTTGCACATCTGAAAATAATATAACACTGCATGTTAACTACACTGGAATTAAAATAATTTTTTTAAAAAGGGAAGGGATTTTAATGATCAGTCCTCCATTGCTCAAATCTGCCAATTCAAATGCATGCTACCTTTCTTTGTGATATTATCCCCAATTTGGCATTTCTTTTCATTCCCCAAATTCACCACTTTTTAACTCCTACTATTCTATTTTCACCACTCTTTAGAAGGGAACAGTACTCAGGGTTCTTTGGACAATGAAGTGAGCAGGAGAGTACGTTCTGAATTTTAGGTTTCTGAATATAAATTGAAATGACAAAAAGGCAGTATCCTGGGGGAGGAATTGTGGAATAGGATAGATAAGAATAGGATACGATAAGAATCATTCTATTGAAATGTTCCTAAGACATTAAGACAGGTCTCAAAATTGTGTTTAAAAAATACCTGGGTAGGGACGCCTGGATGGCTCAGTTGCTTAAGCGTCTGCCTTCAGCTCAGGTCATGATCCCAGGGTCCTGGGATCAAGTCCCACATCAGACTTCTTGCTCAGCAGGGAGCCTGCTTCCGCTGCTCCCTCTGCTAGTGTGCGTGCTCTCTCTCGCTCTCTCTCTCGCTGACAAATAAATAAATGAAATCTTTAAAAAAAAAAAAAAATAAATAATACCTGGGTAAACTTTGTAATGGTCAGTCATGTGAAAGATAATTACTACATAAAATATAATTTCATATTTGAAAGGATCTGAACCAGTTCACATAGTAGTTTTATAACATTTAGATGTGTGCTCAAAAGGTCAATTTCTACCATAATAGAAATGTAAGGCTTGTCAACTGAAAAGCACTCTGTAAGCTGTATAAAGATTAGCCTAATGAAAAATTACCAGAGGATAAAATCTTGTTCTTCAGAGCCAGAAGAACAGATGGCAAGTGTGTTAAGAGGGCTTAACGTACAAGAAACCAGATTTAGGTCAATGATGGGATGAAAATTAGAAGAGGAGCAAAGAAGACAAAGGAAAAGATGGAGAAACATTTAGTAGGAAGGGGGAAAAAGAAATTAAGGAAATAAGAAATAGAAAGTTTTTTTCTGAAAGTTCTTTAAATTAAGTCATTTATTTTCACAATATTTCCTTGAAGGGGCAAGGGCCTATATTATACAGGCTCCACCGCACCCCATACTTATCTTTAGTAGCACTTAATACAATTTACTATAAGTAATTAATTATTCATTTAATACTTGACTATTCTGAAGGTCAGGGACCACAACTATTTTGTTTACTTCTATGTTCTTATGACCTGGCATAGTACTTGGCATAATACTTCTTACATAGCATGCACTTCATAAACATTTGTTGAATAAATGGATAGGATTTTCCATCTTGGCAAACTATTAATAGCTGTACAATGGTTATATGCACACACTCTAGAATCACACTTCCTAGCATCAGAATCTTAGCTACCTCAAAAACTGTGCCACCTTAAGCAAATTACCTAACCTCTCTGTGGTTTAGTTTCCTCATCTTTAAAATGGGGATAATAAAATCACCAGATAAACTAATTTGCATAAAACACTTAGAAAAGTGCCTGACACATAGTAACTGTTCAATAAAAGTTATCTATTATTATTATTTTTATTTATTTTTTTCCTTTGGTGGGTAGCAAAGCAAGGCTTATTGAGGAGAGTACAGTTTATTGAATAACAGTACAAAACTCCTGAGGAGGGAAGGAACCTGAGACGGTTGCCACCGAAGTTTCTAAGTCCAGGGGTTTAATGGGCTTGTTATCGGGCTGTTTTAATCTGATTTACCCTCCCTGCACCTCTCATCCAATCAGGCTTTTGTCACCCATCTATCACATGGGAAAGGGTGGAGGGCTCCTTCCAGGGTGGTGTAAAATCCTTTTAAGGATGGTTTCCTCTTAGGGCGGGGGCCCCTTGTCCCTGCCTGCCTGCCTTCCAACTATCCTTCATCAGTATTTGAATACTCCTATTCTTTTTGAATGGTTACCCACTCTATACTTTCCTCAAGTGATTAGAATCCTCTTCTGATCCCTGGGGTTTTAAACTTTCCCAGTGAAAAGTCTTGGAGTGAATGTGTTGGAGAGGGTGGGTTTTAGTCTGGAGACTCATAGTGCCGGGAATGGCCAGCAATCTCTGTACCCACAGATGAAAGATTACTCCAAACTTTGCCGTGAAAGAGAGAAGGCAAGGGGGTCAATGCTCAGAGACATGTCTATCTTAATTAAACTGACAAACTTAACTTAGTTCAAACACTGAATTATGTTCCACCTGGATCCTCTCCATTGTCAATTTTTACCTGAGACACTGGTGGGGAAATCTAGAGTGGGTGGTGTTAGGTCCAGGGGGTGTTCTTCTTTGCTCCTTGACAGTGAAAGGAGGAGCCATGGTGCCTGAGGCACCAAGGATGGTCTGGAAGCCAGTTATGCAGTCCACACCCAAGGTGGTGCAGAAACAGGAGAAGGGGGAGGGGGAGACAGAAGAGGCAAAGTGCTGTCAGAGGGCAGAGAAAGGGTTCCTGATTCTATGGAGCTCATCAGCTCCAACAGGGTAGCAGAGGTCATGTTTTCCCGCCAACAAGGAGGAATAGGTAGTCCATGTCAGGCCAGAGAAGACAGGGAATTTCCCCAAAACAGAGAGTTCTAGCAGCTGCTTGGGAATGTTCCTTAAAGTCCCCATCCCGAGGTAGACTTAATCACAGTTGGCTCCAATTACAGCCATTAACCCCGGAAATGAGTGAGGGAGAAGCCCCCACATCTATTAAGAACAGTTAGTGAGAGAGAGAGAGACAGGAGTCCCCTTTGTCTGGGATGGCCTGTGTTTCCTCCAGTAACCTGGGTTTACTTGGAGAAGGCCTATTTAGATAATTATCATCCAATATGTCAGGAGGGAGTTTACTAGCCAAACACATTCGGTAGAACATTCTGCAAGGCCCTCAGGTTGGGGTCCTGATGTAGAGCAATGAAGGCCTAGGTACAAGCAATGGGTACCTTAGGTCTATTTACCTTTTCTTACCGAAGAGAGCTGATAGTCCCACTAAGGCCATGCAGTGTTACAGGAGATCAATCCTTTACTAAATTTTGCAATCCGAATTGTTTCCAGTGAGTTAAAAGGTATCCCAAGGGAGAGTCCTTGGGAACTGAAGAAAAGAGAAGGTCCATTACCTAGAAAATTGGGGCACCTGGGTGGCTCAGTTGGTTAAGCGACTGCCTTTGGCTCGGGTCATGATCCTGGAGTCCCTGGATCGAGTCCCGCATCGGGCTCCCTGCTCAGCAGGGAACCTGCTTCTCCCTCTGACCCTCCCCCCTCTCATGTGCTCGCTCTCATTCTCTCCCTCTCAAATAAATAAATAAGATCTTAAAAAAAAAAAAAAGAAAATCCCCTTGACTCCCAGGTGGTGTCCCACGTGGGATATGTCAGAGGTTCCTGGTGTCAAAGCAACCTGAGGTGTCCCCCGAACAAAACTGCTATGACTACCGCCACTGATACAGGCCCCTGTAGGAGGGAGGCCTGCCCTACCCCTCGCTTCCCCATCGCATTCTAGACTAAGATGGGTGCCGGTGTATGGACTGAAATACCGTGCCTCGAAGGTCACACCTTATTTTACCTTGCCTTGAAGGTCATGCCATAGAAGGTCATGCCTTCCTTATGTTACCTCGCCTTGAAGAACCGGCCATTTTTTTTCGTTTTTTTTTTTTTTTTTAAAGATTTTATTTATTTATTTGACAGAGACAGAGACAACGAGAGCAGGAACACAAGCAGGGGGAGCGGGAGAGGGAGAAGCAGGCTTCCTGCTGAGCCGGGAGCCCGATGTGGGACTCGATCCCCGGACCCTGGGATCATGACCTGAGCCGAAGGCAGTCGCTTAACCAACTGAGCCACCCAGGCGCCCCCGAACCGGCCATTTTTAACGCAGGAAAACACTAGAAGTTTTACAAGGGGAATTATCCAATTTTGTAGCTTAAGTAGTTAGTAGAGGACATTGAAAGAAAACAGTAAAGGGCACCTGGGTGGCTCAGATGGTTAAGCGTCTGCCTTCGGCTCAGGTCATGATCCCAGGGTCCTGGGATCGAGTCCCGCATCGGGCTTCCCGCTCCTTGGGAGCCTGCTTCTCCCTCTGTTTCTCTCTGTCTCTCATGAATAAATAAATAAAATCTTTAAAAAAAAAAAAAAAAAAGAAAGAAAGAAAACAGTAAAGATAGAAATCCATCATGGTCTAAGCAACATTCCAACACACGTAGTCTTTACTGCCTAGGAAACAGTCCCCTTCAAGTATCGCTTCCCAGATGTAGCCCCCAGTAAGGGTCAACTAAGTGGGGGGCAAAGAGGGGAAGGTGGTGGAATTTCTTAGTTGGTGGGGAGGATGGAGCTCTTCTTCTTTGTTGGGTCTAACCTGAGAAGGGCTAATTTGGGGAGCTGAAGGAGTCATAGGTTCCTCTTCTTTTTCTTTAAAGACGTTTGAGGTGTCCTCAGTATGTAAAGAGGCCAGGGCAGACCTGACTAGACCCCACATAGTAAGGGAAGCAAGGGACACCTTTTTACCTTGTTTATGGCAATGTTTCAAGCTCTTTCCAATTCTCTCCCATACTTCTAAATCTAAAGTTCCCCAGTCAGGGAACCATGGGTTCTGCTCAATAACACCTGTAACAAACCCTGAAGTTGGTCCTCCATTACAGTGGCCCCGCTCACCTTAAGGAGCTGTTTCTCATTTATAGTAGCCCTGTTAGCCTTTAAAAGTTGCTTTAAAACCTTAATATATTGGGGCGCCTGGGTGGCTCAGTCATTAAGTGTCTGCCTTCGGTTCAGGTCATGATCCCAGGGTCCTGAGATGGAGCCCCACATCCGGCTGCCTGCTTGGCAGGAAGCCTGCTTCTCCCTCTCCCCCTGCTTGGGTTCCCTCTCTCTCGCTGTGTCTCTCTCTGTCAAATAAATAAATAAAATCTTAAAATAAATAAATAAATAAAACCTTAATATATTGTCTCTGTTCAAGAGAGAGGTTTTCTCCCCCCCATATCTGGAGTTCTTAGAGACCTTTTAATTCCATAAAAATACCCAAGACTGAACTTTCCCGAACTCGGCCATGAGCCGATGTCAACTTACTGTGCGCAGACTTTTTGTTTCCGGGCAGTCTGTACGATGTCCATTGCAAAATGGTCACACCAGGGTCACCACTTGCCGGGAATGGCCAGCAATCACTGTACCAATGGATGAAAGATTACTCCAAACTTTGCTGTGAAAGAGAGGAGAAGGCAAGGGGGTCAACACTCAGAGATGAAGACCTATTATTGTTTTTATTAAATTTTCTTAAGATTTTATTTATTCATCTGAGACACAGAGAGAGAGAGAGAGAGTGAGACAGCATGAGCAGAGGGAGAGGCAGAAGCAGACTCCCCGCTGAGCCAGGAGCCTGATGTGGGGCTCGATCCCAGGACTCTGGGATCGTGACCTGAGCGAAGGCAGACGCTTAACCATCTGAGCCTCCCAGGTGCCCCTACTGTTACTATTTAATCTGAAGGTGACCAGTAATACTCACAATCAAATACTACTCAAATTTAAAACCACTAAGTGGATGTTAGGATTCAAAAAAAAAATTTTTTTTTTTAAAAGATTTTATTTATTTATTTGACAGAGAGAGACACACACAGCGATAGAGGGAACACAAGCAGGGGGAGTAGGAGAGGGAGAAGCAGGCTTCCCACTGAGCAGGGAGCCCCGATGCAGGGCTTGATCCCAGAACCCTGGGATCACGACCTGAGCCAAAGGCAGATTCTTAACAACTGAGCCACCCAGGTGCCCCAGTATTCAAAATTTCTTTAATCTGTAACTTTTTCAAGCTTCGTGGATAAACATTTTTTTATTCTTTATTAAAATTTTTTTTTTAAGATTTTTATTAACTTGACAGAGAGAGACACAGCGAGAGAGGGAACACAAGCAGGGGGAATGGGAGAGGGAGAAGCAGGCTTCCCCCGGAGCAGGGAGCCCGATGCGGGGCTCGATCCCAGGACCCTGAGATCATGACCTGAGCCGAAGGCAGACGCTTAAGGACTGAGCCACCCAGGCGCGCCTTTATTGAAAAATTTTTAAGCTCAGGGTTTTGTTTATTAAGAAAAAGAGATGAAGGGTGTCTGGGTGGCTCAGTAGATTAGGTGTCTGCCTTTGGCTCAGGTCATGATCCTGGGGTCCTCAGATCAAGTCCCTGAGCTTCTTGAGCCCAGGGGCGGGCTCCCTGCTCAGGGGGTGTCTGCTTCTCCCTCTGCCCCTTCCGCCCATTCGTGGGTGGTTCAGTCTGTTAAGCAGTTAAGCATCTGCCTTCCGCTCAGGTCATGATCCCAGGGTCCTGGGATCGAGTCCCACATCGGGCTCCTTGCTCAGCAGAGAGCCTGCTTCTCCCTCTGCCTGCCACTTCCCCTGGTTGTGCTCTCTCTCTCAAATAAATAAACCCCTTTTTAAACAAAAGAGATTTAAAAAAAGCCCCTGATTACAGATTATGATAATATTTAGGTAAAAATAAATCCATATATTTTTTAAAGATCTTAAAGATGTACACTAAGTAGTTAAGAATGGTTGCTTTTGGAGGATGGATCAAATAGAAACTTTCACTTCATCTGTATTTCAAATTTTTACAAAAATCACATATTATTAGAAAAAAGAAAACAGCTTATTTTCATAGGGAAATCTTTAAAATAATGAAGGGGGAACCACTGGAAGCCTTAAGAAGGTATGTATCCAACCAGAGTGACCAATAATTTTACTGGCAATGTACAAGGTCTTTTTTGTAGAATCTGTACTCTAGAAACCAGATCATCAATAATCTATTCATTGGAGTCTAAATTCCAAATTTCCCTAGTATGATTTTACCCACTGCCAAAGGCCTTTGGAACGAAAACAGAAATAGGTATAACAAAATGCCATGTCAAACAGTGAGTCAAATCATCAGCCTATTAAATTTTATGATTTACACACATACACCAAGTACAAAATGGGATCCATAAATAAAAGGATTACAGAAAAAAAAAAAACAGTACTATCTTGTTAAAGGGTAAATAATAACTATGAAATGAGCCTGAGAAGGGGTACAAGGCTTGAGTACTGGAATTATGTTCTATCTAGTTTTGTGAGTAGAGAAAACAAAGTTAAAAAAAAACCCATGGAGTATTGGTTGATTGAATAAGCAGTTGAAGCATCTATATTCTTTAAAAACATTAACTGGGACTTGAGTTGGGTTTTAAAGAATAGTTGGACTGTGGGGAAAGAGAATGGCAGTCTGGCCTGTTGCAGTCCAAGGACGGCAGGTGCTGGCTAGGCGCAGGGTCTTGTGTGGGGTGGGTCAGCGGGGCGGGGAGAGGAGGATAGCATCGATAGGTAACATTGATAGGTAAGGCGGAGCCAGTCACGGAAGAGCTGTGAATGAAACAATGAAAATGTAGGACTGCAATAGAGAGCTATTATAGAATTCTAGTGTGGGAGTCACACACAAAAAAGTGAATACTTTCAGATGATTACCATGACAGTAATTTGCAGAATCAGCATGGGGGACAGCCTCAGTGTGGGAGAAACAGAAGGCAGTAAAAGAGGAAGGGTCTTGAAAGTGATGTGTAATATCTTTATCATGTTATTTTTCACACAGAATAAAGTTGCCTGTAGAAGATAGATTGCAAACATTGGGAAGGTTTCCAAATGACTGCAAAGAATTATAAAGTACTGTTGGGTACATCAGAGAGCTCTGTGAAGTTTAAATTAAGTGCTTTGTCTGGATTCATCAGAAACCACCTCCTCACTCTCCAATAGGAAGAACATCCTTGGCCAATGGAGGATGCAGAGGAAAAGAGGCAATGACAATTGACTAGTATAGTCCCATTTGACTTGTTGAATGGAATAAGGTAGATAATTAAGTACAATGAGGGCATGTAGGATGACAGATACTAGTACAACATTCAGCTAATAACTTAGGGAAAAAGTACATTATGTATTTCACAGCTATTGCTGCTTTTCCTTTCTTCTTCTTGGCAGGTGGCTTGGAATTGGGAGGAGGGAAGGTTGCAGGGGATACATTACCCTGGTAATGTATTTATTAAGGTAACTATTACCCTGGTAATAACTCCAAACCACATAAAGCCTTCTTCAAAGATAATTACTTCTTGAATTAAAAAACAAAAGTTCAGTTTTGCTCTGTTTTTTCTTTATCGCAAGGTAAGGAGTTACTGCTTCTCTGTTCCTTACCTCTTCCCCCACTCCACCTCCATTATTGGAGTCTGGCTCATGGCTTTCTATTATACACAACCACCAATAGAAGCAAGCATTCAACTTTAGAACTGTACGGTGTTTAGAGTAAGCAAAAGAGATCAAGGGCACTTCCTACTTTCCAACTCGCCTACCTAGGTTTACAAAGCCTTAAAAGAATCATAAATATTTGTCATCAACATGGTGCTTAGCATTCTGTCTTGTATTATGCTATTTTTTCACTTATTTTCCCATCCTTAGTAAATTCTAAGTTATTTGACAGAGGGATTGATTGTTAATTCTTCCTCTATCTTCTACTTCTACACCACCTAGCTAAGAAACAAACTCCTTGAAAATATAAATGGTCTCTTAAGTACTTCTCTCGCATCAAATACAGTGCTGGTTAATAAATAGGTCATGACAAAGATCACGCAGTAAAACAGATTTCTGGTAAAACGAAAGTAAGTAGGTTTCATTAATATTTTATAGATATTTTTATTCTACAAGAACAATGAGTAATAAAACATGTTAGTGTTGTTAAAAAACAAAATTCAACTGAGTAAATTTGAAGATCTAATTGACTTCATTCAATGATTCATGAATTGGGCAGCATCCTGTCTACAAATAGAAAGGAACTCCAAAGAGTTACAGGAAGGACAGGTTTTCAAAGGCAGAGAAAGGGTGAGATAAGGAAGACATACATGGGGGGGAAAAAGGATTATTTCAGGCTAGGTCACCTTCCTATGGAGGACAAAAGGGTCTATCAGGTGGATTACCTCACCAGTGCTGATCAGGCAATTTCAGACTGACTGGTTAAGATTATACTCCTGAGGGAGAACGAAACTGCAATTAGGTTAAGTATTAAGTTTCAGTTTGGTGGTGTGGGCTCAGCACAGGTGATTCCATTTGGAGACTGCTGTCTTTTTTTTAATTTTATCTATTTGTCAGAGAGAAAGAGGGCACAAGCAGGGGGAGGGACAGTGGGAGAAGCAGACTCCTGCTGAGCAAGGAGCCCAATGCAGGACTTGATCCCAGGACCCTGGGATCATGACCTGAACCGACAGGAGAGGCTTAACCAACTGAGCCACCCAGGGATCCCACATTGTCTCTTTTTAAACAGTGATTATTTCTGTTTACTTCAGTAGTTACATGAATTACAGGTCAACCAAGCCTCTGGTCCCTCTGAGTAAGTGCTATATAAAATATAATAAAGAAAGGACAGTTTACCTGTGTGTCCTGAGAAAATAACAATTTCTCCTGATAAATAAAAGTTACTGATTAATACAAATTTCAAACACTCTGTGTAAGGCCCTGGGATATGTAGTAAGTAAGGGGAATACAGAGAGTAATAAGAATTAAATCCTTCGGGGCGCCTGGGTTGGCTCAATCAGTTAATCATCTGCCCTCCGCAGGTGATGATCCCAGGGTCCTGGGATCAAGCCCCGCATCAGGCTCCGTGCTTGGCGGGAGTCTTCTTCTCCCTCTCCCTCTGCTCCTCCCCCCTGCTCATGCTTCTGCACTCCCAAGTATGCTCCTGCTCTCTCTCTCTCTTTCTCTCTGTCATGTCCTCTCTCAAATAAATAAATAAAATCTTAAAAAAAAAGAATTAAAGTCTGCCATCCAAAAACTTACCATCCAAAACCAAACAAAGCCCAAAGTTAGTAAAAGGAAGGAAATAGTAAAGATCGAGGTAGAAATAAATGAAATAGATTGAAACCAGTAGCTGGTTCTTTGAAAAGATAAACAAAATTGATGAACACTTAGCCAGACTCATCAAGAAAAAGAGGGAGGACTCTAATAAATAAAACTGGGATTGAAAGAGGAGAAGTGGGGCACCTGAGTGGCTCAGTTGGTTAAGCGACTGCCTTCGGCTCAGGTCATGATCCTGGAGTCCCTGGATCGAGTCCCCCATCGGGCTCCCTGCTCAGCGGGGAGTCTGCTTCTCCCTCTGACCCACCCCCCTCTCATGTACTCGCTCTCTCTCATTCTCTCTCTCTCAAATAAATAAATAAAATCTTTAAAAAAAAAAAAAAAAGAAAGAGGAGAAGCAACAACTGACACCACAGAACTACAAAGGATTACAAGCAACTACTACAAAAACTTACATGCGAAAAATTGCGCAACCTAGAAGAAATAGATAAATTTCTTGAAACCTACAATTTTGCAAAACTGAATCAGGAAAAAATAGAAAATCTGAACAGACTGATTACTGGTAATGAAATTGAATCAGTAATCAAAAACCTCCCCCAAACCCAAAGTCGAGGACCACATGGCTTCATAGGTGAACTCTACCAAACATTTAAAGGAGAGTTAATACCTATTCTTCTCAAACTATTCCCAAAAAACAGAAGAGGAAGAAAAATGTCCAGATTCATTCTACGAGGCCAGCATTACCCTGAGACCAAAACCAGAGAAAGACATCACAAGAGAAAAAAACTACAGGCCAATATCCCTGATGAACATGGATGCAAAAATTATCCACAAAATATTGGCAACCAAATTCAACATTACATTTAAAAAAATCATTCACCACAATCAAGTGGGATTTATTCCAGGGACACAAGGATGGTTCAATATCCACAAATCAGGGAGTGCCTGGGTGGCATAGTAGGTTAAGTGTTGGACTTTTGGTTTCAGCTCAAGTCATGATCTCAGTGTCCTGAGATCTAGCCCCACGTGGGGCTCCATGCTCAATGAGAAATCTGCTTAAGTTTCTCTCTCCCTCTTCTTCTGCACCTCCCCTCCCCCACCCAGCCATGTGCATCCCCTCACTCCCTCTCTAAAATAAATATTTTTTAAAAATCACAAATCAATCAACATATCACAATAACAAAATGAAGGTTAAAAACAATATGATCCAAAAAAACCCCCAAAAAACAATATGATCATCTTAACAGATGCACAAAAAGCATTTGACAAAATTCAACAGCCATTCATGATAAAAACTCTCAACAAAGTGGATTTAGAGGGAATATACCTAAAAATAATAAAAGCCATATTTGACAAAACCACAGTTAACATCATACTCAATGCTGAAAAACTGAAAATTTTTCCTCTAAAAATAGGAACAAGACAAGAATGTCAATTCTTGCCACTTTTGTTCAACATTGTCCTGGAAGTCCTAGCTGCAATAATCAGACAAGAAATAAAAGGCATCCAAATTTGTAAGGCAGAAATAAAACTGTCACTATTTGCAGATGACATGATATTACATAGAGAAAACCCTAAAGTCTTCACCAAAAAAACTGTTAGAATAAATAAATTCAGTAAAACTTCAGGACACTAAATTAATATACAGAAATCTGTTGCATTTCTATGCACTAATAATGAGCTATCAGAAAGGGAAATTAAGAAAACAATCCCATTTACAATTACATCAAAAAGAATATTGTGGGGCGCCTGGGTGGCTCAGTTGGTTAAGCAACTGCCTTCGGCTCAGGTCATGATCCTGGAGTCCTGGGGTCGAGTCCCGCATCGGGCTCCCTGCTCAGCGAGGAGCCTGCTTCTCCCTCTGACCCTCCCCCCTCTCATGTACTCTCTCTCATTCTCTCTCTCTCAAATAAATAAATAAATCTTTAAAAAAAAAAAAAAGAATGTGATTAACATAACGTAATAAAATTTTAAAAAAAGAATAAAATATCTAGGAATAAACTTATCCAAGGAGGTGAAAGACCTATACTCTGAAAACTGTAAGACACTGATGAAAGAAATTGAAGACATAAATGGAAACATATGCCATGATTGTGGATTGGAAGAATTACTATTATTAAAATGACCATACTAGCTAAAGCAATCTACAGATTTAATGCAATCCCTATCAAAATACTAAGAGAATTTTTCACAGAACTAGAACAAATAATCCACAAAAGACCCTAAGGAGCCAAAGCAATCTGGAGAAAGAAGAACAAAACTAGACATATCACTATCCCAGATTTCAAGATACACTACAAAGCTATAGCAATTGAAAAAATATGGTTACAGGGACGCCTGGGTGGCTCAGTCGGTTAAGCGTCTGCCTTCGGCTCAGGTCATGATCCCAGGGTCCTGGGATCGAGTCCCGCATCGGGCTCCCTGCTCCGTGGGGAGCCTGCTTCTCCCTCTGCCTCTGTCTCTCTCTCTGTCTCTCATGAATAAATAAATAAAATCTTTAAAAAATATATATATATATATATGGTTACAGATGCATAGATAAATGGAACAGAATAGAAAACCCAGCAATAATCCCATAGTGACATGGTCAATTAGTCTATGACAAAGGAGGCAAGAATATACAATGGGGAAAAAACAGTCTCTTCAATAAATGGTATTAGGAAAACTGGACAGCTATATGCAAAAGAATGAAACTGGACCACTGACTTACACTTTACTTACACAAAAATAAACTAAAATGGATTAATGACATAAATGTGAGACCTGGAACCGTAAAACTCCCAAAAGAAAATACAGGCAGTAATCTCTTTGACATCAGCTTGGGCAAGGTATTTATGGATAATGTCTCCTCAGACAAGAGAAACAAAAGCAAAAATAAACTATTGGAACTACACCAAAATAAAAAACTTTTGCACAGCAAAGGAAACCATCAACAAAAGGAAAAGGCAACCTACTGAATGGGAAGAGATATTTGCAAAACATATATCCAATAAGGAGTTAATATTCAACATATATAAAGAACTTATACAGCAGCATGCTTTGCTGGCTCAGGCAGTAGAGCATGTGACTCTTGATCTCAGGGTCATGAGTTCAAGCCCCTTGCTGGTCACGGAGCCTACTTAATTAAAAAACAAAAAACACTTAACACAGCTCAACACTAAAAAAACAAATAATCCGATTAAAAATGGGGAGAGGACCTAAACAGACCTTTTTCCAAAGACATACAGATGGCCAACATCACTGATCATCAGGGAAATGCAAACCAAAACCACAATGAGATATCACCTCACACCTGTCAGAATGACTAAAATCAAAAACACAAGAAATAAGAAATGTTGGTGGGAACATGAAGAAAAAGGAACCCTCCTGGCCTGATGGGGGAAAATGTAAATTTGGGGAGGGCGGAAAATGTAAATTTTTGGTGCAATCACTGTGGAAAAGAGTATGGGTGTACCTTAAAAAATTAAAAATAGAAATACTATATCATCCAGTGATTCCACCACTGGCTATTTACCCAGAAAAAACAAAAACACTAATTGGAAAAGATATATGCACCCCTATAATTATTGCAACATTATTTATAATGGCCAAGATATGGAAGCAACCTAAGTGTTCATCAATAGATAAATGGATAAAGATGATATATATTTTATATACACACAACGGAATATTTCTAAACCATTAAAAAGAATGAGATCTTGCCATTTACAACAACATGGATGGGCCTAGAGGGTATTATGTTAAGTGAAATACATCAGAGAAGGCAAATGCTATATGATTTCACTTATATGTGGAATCTAAAAAACAAAACAAAACAAACAGAAAAAGACTCATAAATACAGAGAACTGGTGGTTGCCAGAGGGGGAGAGAGTGGGTGGGATAGGTGAAATGGGGAGAAAGGGATTAAGAGGTACAGACTTCGATTTATAAAAGAAATAAGCCACAGATTCTAAAAGTATAGCATAGTGACTACAGCCTATAACATTATAATGACATTGTATGGTAACTACACTTACTGTGGGTGGTGAGCATTGCATAATGTATAGAACTGTGGAATCACAAGGTTGTGCACCTGAAACTAATATAACATAGTCAACTATACTTCAATAATAAACATTTTTTTTTTATAAAACCTTACCATCCAGGAGGAGAGATGAGTGTAAAATTAACCATAGAGCTGTGAGTTTCCAATGCAATGTGGCGACTGAGCTGGCATTAAGCACCTGGAGGATGATTACTTGTTCAGAGTTGACAATTTGGAAAATACAGAAAAGCACAAGCAAAAAAAAAAAAAAAAAAAAAAAACAAAAAGCACCTAATTCTCCCACAAAAAAAACCACTATTAGTATTTCGGTTTTTTTTTTTTTTTTACATGCTTTTGTTTTTGCTTTTCAGGTTAGCTTAAAAACAATACATGCATATGGCAAAAAAAAAAAATCTAGCAGTATAAAAAGGCATACCACTTAAAAAGGTAAAAGGTCCGCTCCCCAGAGGTACGTTAAAATAAATTTCTAGGTCCAAGATGGAGTCCCTCCTGCCAGGGGTCACGTCCCGGAAACCAAACTTTGGTGTTCATTTAAATTCTTCTTGACCGGAAACACTGTATCTTGTCAGCCAATCCCCAAAAGCCAAGTCAACGCTGGGCTCCCAAACTTACTTCCTTGCTCCTTGACCTTTATAAGTAAGGTCAGATATGCAACTCCAGGCCTGTTTTGATTTGCCGCGTCTAGCGTCTAGTGCTCTGTAAAAGTCGCTGTTGCCCAAACGCCCTCTAGTAGAAGGCTCCATTGCTTGTGAGGCACTGTATTCTCCTAATCCGTGGATGGTTTTCCCTTGGGAAGAAAGGACATCAAGCTAGTTACAAAATTGTTTGTTTTGTCATTTGACAGGTAACAGACAGCTTCGTTGTGAATCTATCTGCAATTCAGAATTAATGCAAAACTAATGCATAAAACTGCATTCACATATACATTTACCCCTTAAAATGGATACAGATGTAATCACGTTATCAGGTGTTCTGCATCTTCCTTTCCTTAACGGCACAAGGCAATCTCCCTCCTTCTTAGAAGAGCTAGACCTATTTCTTACTGCGTTCAGAGCTGCTGCAATATAACCAGAGGGACTGGGCAGGTGGTGACCCCACCCAGTAGACAGTAGGTCATTTCGGGAGGCGGGGGGAGACAGAGGGGTAAGCCAATTTGGTTGGCATGTAGGGTATCAGCAGGATGATTGGAGGCCAGAGGGTGGGCATGGTATTCCAGGCCAGCACTTTAGACTTCCTTTACTTCTTGTAGTGGAAAGGAATAAGTAAGTCAGTTGGTTTGGGTGAGATACGGTTTGTATGAAGGGCTTGACGGGCTGACAAGTGGATCCAGGAGGGAGCTGACATTTGAGTCTAGAACTGAGAAGGGATCTAGGGTCGGGAAAACTGTAGGGTTGGTTAGTTTTCTGCAGCCTGGTCTTCACTGCTCCCTCCCCTAAGAAAAGTCCTCTCTTTAGCTACATTCGGTGGAGGATTCACTAAACGCATCACCTTTTTCCTAGGCCGGGTGCTACAGCAGATCCTTCGAGCCGGTACCTAACAAAATCCCTCAGTCCTTTCCCCGTCCCCGGGCCGCGGGAATTCTGAGATCTGGGCGGGCCTTCTGCTAGGCGCTCTATGGAGCAGGGATAGGAGAATACAGCCGCCAATCAGACCTCCCAGATACCCGGATGCGAAGCGATGCGCGATACAAAGGCGCGTTACCACCCAGCGCTTCGTCAAGTACAGTGGCCAATAAGCACGTCTCTGGTGATAAATGACAGGAAAAATAGCCATTTACAAACTAGTTTCTCTCACGCATGTGGAAATTCTCCTGCATAGTCTAACCCACTACTGATTGTGATTGGGCAGAATTGTGAAGAGCGGTAGAACTGTCTAATTAGAAGCGGGAGCGAGAAAAGTCGCAGCCAATAGCACGATTCTCGGGAGCGGGGCGGGGGCTAGGCCTTCGCCTCGGCGGCAGAGGAGACTCGGGGGCCATTTTGTGAAGAGACGAGGACTGAGTGGTGTGGCCGCGTTGTCGACCTCCAGCAGCAGTTGGCTTCTCCACGTAGAACTCGGGAGTAGGAGATTCAGAATCGAATCTCTTCTCCCTTCCCCCTCCTGGTAAGTGGAGGGGGCAGAAGCAGGGCAGGCGCTGGGTTCCTCGGCGAGCGCGAGGGGGTGTGGGAGAGAAGACGAGGGAACCTTACCCTCGGTAGAGTAACCAGGCCTCCATTTATTCTCTTTACGTTGGGGCATTAGGTTTTATGCAGAGAGAGTTTTATAGGCCTCAGCCCTTGCGCAGATTTAATCTAGTGTCCTCTAGGCCACGATCGGCAGGGAAAACGTCCTTTTCCGCTCTATTTCTGTGTTAACGGCTGCTTTCCTTTCATTTTCTACGACCATGAGGACTCCAGGAGAGAGATGAAAGGGAAGATCGAGATGCTCATTAATACAGTTGGAAGTTCACGTAGTGCTGATGCCTTCTGTTAAATTTAAAAATTGGGCGGGGGATGGGTAAGGGTTACCAAGTAGATACTGTACCGCGAGCCTCTCAATTCTGGAGCGTACCGCAGGGCGTAAGTGTTGTAAATATTTTAACAATAGATTTAATGTTTTACTGATCATTTTTTGTTTTACACCTCTCTGAGCAACGGCGGACCTCGAAGTAGTTATTTTCAATTCTATTTTTTTAATATTGTAATCTCACTTACATATTAACAATAATTAAAGCTGGCTTACTTTTTATCTGCAGGTTACAAATCACTTGAAATATATAAGTTAGTGGAACTTTGCTTGAGGTAGGTACTACTATCTTTCTCAGACAAACTGAGAGGCACAGTGTCGGTTGCCAGGGTCATAATAAATCAGTAGCGGAACTAAGGAATTTGACTCTACTAGGTTAGTCAAGTGGTTTTTACCTAGCTTTTGGAATAGTAGGTTTTGATAGTACTGTATTTGAATTTTTTACGAGAACCTAATTACAGCAGTCACTAGCGGTAACTGGAAATTCCCAAACTGCACTTGGGAAAAATAATTACGAGAATTGGCAGTTGTTATTAATTTAACATTCTAATACAAACTTAAAATTTGACTTTCAGGGTATTCTGGCATTGATTTTCCAAAATATCTATCTGAGAAGTATGTAGTTAACCATACTTTTTATTAAGAAAGTAGTATTGTGCCCACTATTTGCTAAGTCCTGAAATTGAGGAAAATTTTCGCTACGTTTATAAAAAATTACATAGGTGTTTCTAAGTAGTATCACATTCACTTATCCAAGAAATCGCCTTTTTTTTTGGATACTTGGGGAAGGGGAAGATTTCTTTTTTCATAGTGTGTTCTCTCACAAAAACTGTTAGGCAAAGTTTAAACCAATACTGAAGGATAAAATCATCCCTTAGGAAACAGATACAAGGTAAAAGTACTTTTATCCGGAATGGTGAATGCATTTGTCAACTCCCTCACCATGTAGATAATGTAATAGGGATTAAAAGCATTGCTCTTTAGGAAAAACATAAACATGTATATTACTACATGCGCTTAAAACTAAAGTTTGTGTCACTGCAGAACTGTTAGAAATGAGATAAGGGCAGTGATTAGTTGATTTAACTCGTAAACGTAATAAAAATATCGTTGGCAAATAGAAATGTAAGGAATTAATATTTAATAACAGTAGATAAAAATTGAAAATAATTGGGCACTTTTCTTGCCTTGACCTCTTAGAAATACTGGGTTTCCTGGGATCAGCATGTACGAAGGAAACCGTTCCTTTGAGTTACTATCCATCTGGAAAGATCGGGCCCCAGAAATAATGTCTGAAACAATTTTAGAAGGGGTTTTCAGATAGGCTTTAATAGCATTTTCATGTGGCTAAAGAGGAAGGACTTAAGAAGGTTGCCTAAGTTGCAGGTCTTCCGACCTTTTTGTGTTTCCCACGCTCGTTGCACTGGAATGCTTGGTGTTGGTTGCTATTCCTTCTGTGGAGAATTTAAACATTCCTTATATTTGTGATTAGGGCTTTAGTGGGTTTCACATAGCACGCATCTTCGTTTTGGTTGGAATTGCTGTAAGAACAAGCAAGGAATAAATCCAAAATCGTTAATTCTAATAAAAATTATATTAGGTAGTCATTATCTAAGATGTTAACTGGGGAGTGACAGTTGAAAGAATCTTGGCCTGAGAGAAGAGAACTGTATCCCCATCTCCCTTACCCCCCCCCGTTATTGTATTAGGCAAATCAAAAGTTATGGATTTCAGTTTTATACTTAGAAGAGGGCTTAGACATTTTACCTATTTTAATTTCTGATTTCTACTCAAGTCATTTGTCAGAAGGCTGAAGTGTATAAAGTTTTATTAAAAGCAGTTTTTATATATTAATATCTAAATAACAGTCTTGAAATAGCTTTGTAATTGTCTTTGGAGATCATTATTTGCTCATATTTAATATGTATATTCATTCTGATTGGGGTCAGGGAAGATGATGGTTATTACATATTAGATTTATTAGAGAATTGACGGGTGAGAACCAGCACTATTTGATGTAGCATAAATGCAAGTGTTCTCTTAGATATTAGAAAGTTGGGGCTTATAAAGGGGAAAAAGGATTACCATAGGGTTTTTAAATTCTCTTGGTGCATTTACTATGGTAAGTCATGATCTTGGATTTACTTTATACCACTCTTAACTATGGGATAGGGGTTCCCCATTGAACTCTCATAGTGGTTCTTAAATGTGAACCAACCTTAGAATCAGTAACGGGAATAGTTAAAATAGATTGCTGGGCTCCACCACCAGTTTCTAATTAAGTCTGGTGTGGGCCTTGGTAATTTGCATTTCTAATAAGTGCCGCTTGGTGCTGGTTGGCAACCCACACTTAGAGAATAGTGCTTTAGAAGAAGGGATCCAAACCTCCCAGAGGTATAACAAAGTGTAACTTAGGTACACTGTTAATTGCAAAGTATTATAATTGGGCACTAAAACTGGTCTTTTTTTTTAATGAGTTGGTAGCTCATCAATTTAACGTAACTTTTTGGAAGACCTCTTGATGACTTTCAGAAATGTAAATGTTTCTTTTCATCTTCTTGGTGAGCGTTTGTCTTGCAACACGTGCAAAGGCTTTATTTGTAGATGAGCCACAAAGTTAATTAACGTACCCTGAAGATTTTGAGTACCGGGTTCAAGCTGTGACTTAAGAAAATTGAAAGTTTCACCATAACTGGACATCACAAACATTGCCGTAGAGATAATATTCAAATGTGTACGTTTTCTACAACTTTTTTTTTTATGGTTTGTATAATTTGTTTTGAAGATTTTATTTTTAAGTAATCCCTACACCCAACATGGGGCTCGAACCCACAACCCTGAGATTGAGTTCCACACTCTCGGAAAAATTTACAGTTAAAATTTTAGAGGTTTAGTACCTGTTATGTTGCTGTAGTCATCCACACATAATTGACTCAAGGAACACTTTTTAATTTTAATTTTATTATTTTTTTAAGTTTTTTTTTCTTGAGGGGGAGGGGCAGAGGGAGTGGGAGAGGATTCTTAAGCAGGCTCCAGGGCCAATGCAGGGCTCAAGCTCACAACCCTGAGATCATGACCTGAGCTGAATGAAATCAAGAGTCAGACACCTAACCAACTAAGCCACCCAGGCTGCCCTGACCTTTTTTTTTTCTCCCCTGCTTTTTGAAGTAAGCTCTACACCGAACGTGGGGCTTGAACTCATGGCTCTGAGATCAAGAGCCACATGCTCTACCAGCTGAGCCAGCCAGGTCCCCCTAGTTTACTGACATTTGTAAAGGAGAATAAGACCATTTGGCTGAATATTAAAATATGAGGGTGGTGATTTCCTTATTTTCTCAAAAAACCTACGGCCTAATTGAAAATCTTGTAGCTGATGAAACAGCCAATTTGTCATGCATGTTATTTTTTAGTGTGGTGGTCTGAGTCAGATTCTTAAAATTCATATCTTGAAATTAGCTCTGTATACTAGCTTATAAACAGACCACAGAAACAAATCCATTAAGGACCATAATTTTCACTTTATGACATTATTCAGTAACTAGTGAACTTTTCTCCTTCATTTGTGGTTTTTCATTCTGTCACTGGAATGATGAGCTCCTTATTTATTAATTTTTATGATGTGCTCCTTAAGTAAACATCTTTTCCCCCTATAGAACTTATCAGGTCTTGTAGTCTCATCACTTTACAGGTTTTGAGAATAGATGTCATCTCTAGTGTGTATCTTCATGGTAGACCATTCCCCTTCATAATCTTGATATTTGATACTTGCTCACTTCATCATCTCTGTTGGCCTGGTTTTTCTATAATTTCTTTGTCCAAACTGCTGATTATCAAATGAATGTTTGTAGATTTTTGTTTTTAAGACCCTTGTGGGAATGTAGGCATATATTTAGTAAATTTTTGTCACCTACTGATAACTGAATTGTGAAGACAGTCACTGGTAGAGGTGATGGTTCTATAGAGGCTCTTCCCTTCCCAGTGTAATGTTATGCTTTACCAAAATGTGTTACATGCATTGGACAGATGTTTCTGTCTTGGGGGTTTAGGGCACAACATTTCTGAGGAACTCTGACTCAATCTGTCCCTTCTCCTTTCACAGGGCAGCAAGGCGAACCCCATCCCTACTCACTGGAGCTCAGCTTTGATTTTTAACCTCCCTTCCCCACCCTTCCAGAACACACACATTCCCATTCCAAAATTGATTTTATAAAGAGATTTTAAACATAATGATGCAACTTGGTGTGCACTACGGCAAATTTACAGGTGTTTTTTTTTCAATTGTTTCCAAAAACGGGACTTGGATTTAAGATGTAATTTTTAAAATTTCTATTCTATTTTTTCTGCAGCAGTTGGGTTAGAGGAGGAGGAGCCTTTTAGCCTCTCATAAACTGACCTCTCTACTTCCTCGTGTATTTTTAAGATTGATTGATGATGTGGAAAGGGCTTTGCTTGTCTGCTACTGAGAACTTTACCCTTGCGGTTTTTGTGGAAACTGCTTTTGGAAAAAGAAAAGAAATGAACTTTACTGACTTGACATTTTTGCACCTCCCGTTTTTCTAATCTGGGCTATTTTTATTTTTGTTTTTTTACAGTGAGATTTTTTTGATCTTCAGCTACAGTAAGTTATTCCAATTTTTTTTTTACATTTTTCCTGACTTTCCGCTGATTTCCTTTTTATTGTTGTTACTAGTTACTATTATTATTTATTATTATTATACTTAATGATGGTGATGATGATGATGATAATGACACTGATGATTTTTAATCGGATTAAAATCGAGTTTTTCTGAATGTTCATAAGAATTTCTCCGGCCTCCTGATTGACTTTGGAGTTTTGCATCTTGGGAGAGAAGGTGAAGGCATTAGCATTTTTAAGTGGATTGATCACATAAACCTTTTCTCTCCCAACCCCACCCTTGCCCTCATCCCCTTCCCCAGGCTCGAAAGAATTTTACTGGCTGTTAAGTCTGTGACCTTATTTTTCCTGATCTTTAACTTAACTGTTTAAGAGCATCTCTGGACGTCTGTATTTTTTATTTTTTATTTTTGTTTTTTTTATTTTTAATCTTTCATTTGTTAAAATTTTTAAACTGTGCTGCAATAAAATGTGTGTGGTACTACTTAACACCTATGATGGTGATGGCATTTTCCCAGAAAGCCATTTTCCTCCTGTTTCCCTTGAAATCCCATCCTGCTTTTCCTGTACACTACTACCCCTCACAAACCACAAGCTGCAGCAACATGGATGCCCAGCCTGGAACAGCAGCAGCCAGGATGACCTGGAGCCAGGGGGCCTTCGGAACAGATGCACACCCTTCCTGGGTGATGGTAAGAGGTGTGAGGTCCACTTGGTTTCATTGCAAAGACTAGGAAATACACCCATTTAAGTCTAGTTGATACAGTGTAGGTGATAGCTTCTGGTAATGTTTGGGTTAAGATTTTTGTGTATCGAGATGTTTCCCAAAGGATGCCAGCTCAGTTTTTTATAAGCTAATGGAATTATGAGGTTGTAACTAACTTGGGCTGACTGAGAATTTTTGATAATTGGAAAGAGCAGCTGAAGTTTACATATACTTCAGAACGAAAATGGTTTGTTTTAAATAGCAACAAGACAAGGACATATTAGATGGGTTTATTCTTAGATTATTGCAAATTAGTAAAAATTTTCTGTCATTCAGAGTAATCTTCCTTGGGTTTGTAACAGTAGTTTTTGATTGTACTCCAGTTAGACTATTCTTACTGAAATTTAACATGAATCAAATCACAAGAAACATGCTGTAATATTAAATGCTATCTCACTGGGAGGTTTTTTTTTGTTTGTTTTAAAGGATAGGTAGATTTTTAATCTCAGAAAGCAGTGAAATCTCTTCAACCTGTATCCAAATCAGGAAAGGTGTAGAGTTGCTCTCTTTTTCAGTGGTGACTTGTGACCCAGCAAATGTTGGGGAATCTAATGTGTTCCCAATAGTGATAAGAAGGAATGAGTACCTAAAGAATTAAGAATTTTAGCAACCTGTAGTATTTAAAAGATGTATTCATTTTAGAAGGTAGGGGCAGAGGGAGAGAGAGTCCTAAGCAGACTCCACACTGAGTGCAGGTCTTGATCCCACAACCTGAGCCAAAACCAAGAGTTTGATGCCCAACCAGCTGTTCCACTCAGGCACCCCACAGCCTGTAGTATTTTACTGACTACAGTGGAATATTTTGATAACTCACTCTAGAGTTGCTGTAGATTTTGAGCTGAAAGAAAAAAATGATTTTTTTAAAGGCATATTCAGTGCTGTGTGTTACTAGGAGAAATCACATACTACTTCTTTATTTGTACCAAATGAATAAAATAACACTGAAGGCATCCTCAAAGGAAAACCGAATGGGAGAAAGTTATATAAAATGTCCTGAGGTTATCTGGAAGAGGAATGGAAAATTTTCTTTTATAGGTCCAAGTATTATTGATGTCCTCTGTTACATGAAAGCTATTTTTACCTGTTAACTCATCTGTCATAGTGTGGCTGCTGTTCACTATCGGTCCGTCCTTGTTAATTTTACAAATTCTTGTGGGTCATGTTCTGGTTTGGGGAGACACAAAAAGGTATGGTAGTTTTTCAGGGACTTGGAACCTTGTGAGGGAGACAGATGAATGAGACAATGTCATCATGTGATCAGAGGTAAACATAGAACCTATAGAAGCATGTAAAAATGAGTACCTGATTGACTCTTAAAAGGGCAGGAAATGCTTCTAAGAGAAAGGGAACTGAATTGAACCTTAGAATTAAGGCCAGATTATAAAAATTTTAATGCCATGCTAAGGAGTTTGTATTTTATTCAAAAACTATTGATGAGCTATTGAAAGGTTCTAAACCAGGGATTGAGATCAGATTTTCATTTTGGAAATGTCATTCTGATGGTGTGGAAATGGCTTGGAGGAGGTAGGTGATAAGGAAGATAGTAAAATACACAGAAAAATAATGAGCTGGCCTGGTCAAAAGCAATGGTATTGGGACTAGAGAGGAACTGATAAATTTAGGAGGATTTGATGGTTACTGTGATAATGAGGAGCAAGGGATTCAGTGTGACTCCCAGGATAGATGAAGGGAGCAGATTAGGGTAAGAATAGGAGAAAGCAATTTAAACAATTGGTTTTTTGAGGCGCACGTGGAACATTCAAGTAGAGATGCTTATGCATTAGACGTTTGAGTGCTTATTCTGAAAATCACCAGTAGGGTGGGGCATAGGGATGAAGAAAACATACTGTCCCCTGTCCTCTCTTGGACAGATCATTGAGGGGTGAAATTGAGTGACAGACCACTATATCTAGAAGGAAAGAACAGTAAGATTATAGAAAGGGAACCAAATTTAGAATATGGAGGTGGTAGGGTGCTTCCAGTGAAGTGACCTTGAATTGATGGTGAAATTAAGATCTAGAAGTGGGTTGTCCTACCTGAAAGCACAGGTAATGGAGGGAAATCTTGACTTCAGAGCAAAAAATACTACTGGAGAATAGTCACCAAGAATGCATAGAATAAGAGACAAAGTTGGAAAGATAAGCAATTAGCAAGCATGGTATACAGGTCCTTGTAGGATCCTTATTTAATATCTAGGTTGTCTTGGGAACAAAGGGAATCTTTTGAAGGACCTTGGAGGATGCTGAAATCCTATTAACTTTGGAATTTCCTTCCGGCTATTGTCTGGGGAATGTTAGTAATGAGGACAGAGTTCAAGGAGGACAGTATATTAGACCTATCAGACTAAGTCACTATCTTCTAATCTTCTAGAAAAAAGTAGTAATCCTAGGCCTGGGGATACTTGCCCAGTTGTTTCAAATGAGTTTTTTGTGTGTGTATTAATGAGCAGATGTAATTAGTTTGAAGAGGACAGGTTGATCAGACTCTAGGAAACTACTAATCACTTCTCTGTTTGAAAGGAAAAATGAAGTAGACTCAATTTTTTCCTTTTGGAAGTAATAATCTGGACACCTTATTGTGAATATGTCTGTCATTGTTAATGTTCCTACAGCTTTTTTAATCATCATAAACTTTGTGTATTATCATTAGAATTTTGGAGATGAGAATATGGAAACACAATTTTAAAAATTTGCTCAGTTAGACCTACCTAATAAATGAAATGGTGACACATGGATTCAACTCAGGCCATTAAGCCTACAGATTTCAACTCTTAATCATACTAGATTGTTCTTTATTTGACATAATGAAGTATTTTCGAAAAATCTTCAGTTGGGCTACAGTTACCCCTCCCCCCCCAAAAAGAAACTGCTTCAGACTTCTATTTTTAAAGAGTTTCCAACTAAATATCATCATTAATATATTTAGCTTAATTCTTTTTTTTAAGATTTTGCTTGTTTATTTGACAAAGACACAGAGAGAGGGAACACAAGCAGGGGGAGTGAGAGGGAGAAGTAGGCCTCCCGCGGACCAGGGAGCCTGATGCAGGCCTCGATCCCGGGACCCCTGGATCATGACCCTAGCGGAAGGCAGATGCTTAATGACTGAGCCACCCAGGCGCCCCTTGTTGTTTCTTCTTATCACTTTATTTTTTTTAAAGATTTTATTTATTTATTTGAGAGAGAGAATGAGAGCACATGAGAGGGGCAAGGGTCAGAGGGAGAAGCAGACTCCCCGCTGAGCAGGGAGCCCGATGCGGGACTCGATCCCCGATCCCGGGACTAAAGGATCATGACCTGAGCCAAAGGCAGTCGCCTAACCGACTGAGCCACCCAGGCGCCCTGTTCTTATCACTTTAAATGACACGATGAAGAGTTCAAGGTAATAACTTAGAGGTAGCTTTGTGGTATAATTTCATAAAATGTTTGGATGTGACCATATTCTAGAGAACTAAACACACTTTAAAAGTGAGTTTTAGTTGAAGAAATAAATAATTGCACTTGTGGTTTTAAAAAAATACACATCCCAGAGTGGTGTATTGCCAAATCCAGCAGTTGTCTTGTAGTCCTCATCACACTTGACCAGTTGGTGTGATTTAACCAGTTGGGCCACTTTCCTCCTCGAAATATTTTTTATATAGTTTTAGGTTTTTGTTCTGTATCTGGCTTTTCTTCAGCTCTGTTGGAGTACTCTGTGTTCATTCCTTCCACTTCTCTTTTTTACATTCCCTGGGTCATTTCATTCAATCAGATGATTTTCTATACCATCTATAAGCTAATGAGATTCCCACGCTTGCATCACCAGCCTGGACTTTCTCGAATGACATGCCAGTATGTCTAGTTACCTAGCTGACGACTCCTTGAATGTTAACTATTACCAATTTAAAAGTCCCAAACTGGGCTCCTGCTAGTCTCAAACCAGTGTTTCCCGTTTTGGTTAATGCCTGTTTTGGTTGCTGCTTGAAAATCAATAGCTTCCTATTTTCAACGTTAAAATTTAAAAATTCACTGTGATTTAATACCCTTCAATGATGTTGTGCTCCTCCTCCCTTAATAATACACTTAGTATATTCTGCTCTAGCCGCATCGCCTCCTTATTGAGTCTTGAATGCTAGATGGTCCTATCTCAACCTTTTCTTGGAATTTTCTTCCTTAAGACATTCCTAAGATTACTTGGTTGCTCATTTCATTTAGGTTCTTATCTCAAAGGTCATGGCCTCACCGATGGCTTCCTTCACTTAGCCCTTCAAGTTTCCCCCTCCCTATGGATACTCTAGCACATTGCACCATCGCACATATTATAGAAGTTTATTATCTATGTAAAGGTATAGGGAAATACCTTGAATGATACAGGTATAACAACATCGTTAGGGTTGGAAGGAAACTTGCTGTGTGCTTGAAGAGTAATATAACGAGCAACACGGTATTCTCATTTAAGTAAGACAAAACTTAGATCTGCTTCAATTTTTCTGTGGCTGGGTGTAAATGGCTACAGCCTATGTACTAGGGGTTTAGTAAATAGTTTTATAGTTGAAAAACAGCTTTAAAACAGGTCTGGCTGTGGTGGAATGGATCAAGTTTTCATTTGAGAGCATAGGCTATTGTGTTTCCTGTGATAGGGCTGCAGGCAATTTGGAAGAACTTCATTTTTTTTTAGTTACTCTCGTGAGTATGCATATAGGCTTTTCAAAACATACACATTCAAGTACAGAAAAATTTTTTACTTAATGTGAACATAATAACAAAATTAGTAGAAATCTGAAAATTTAAGTAGCTACATACATAGCATCTTTGTATAATATTTTACTTAAATAGAACTCTGTCTTGGGCCCTTAATGTTTTCCCATTTTTCCCTTGTATACATAATTGAACAGTCTAACAAATAAAATTTTGTAAATACCCTTAAGTATTTTATTTCTGGATCTGTGTA